AATATCTATAAGAACACCGGATTATATATCTTACTGTTCTTTTCTTTTATTTATATATACATATATATATATATATATATATATATATATATATATATATATGGATCCAGGTATTATGAGAACAAATAGAGTACAATTCCAATGTTCATAACATTTAATTTAAAAGAGAACACAATACAAAGTAGAGTAATATTATTTATTATAGGATATTACACCGAAAACATATCAAAATTGCTACACAATTTCAGTTGTGTTTTGATGTGTAAATTACTGGTGAGTGAATGATTTATTTAGATTTAAAACATTTTCACATTTTCAGTGTAATATCCTGAAATAAATATATATATATGGGAGGGAGGTGTTATTGATAATATTAGATGTTTCTTTATAAGGAAACATTTGTTTTCATTGACCAAGCAACCAGCTCTACTTACAGTTAAAATTTATAAAAATCTTTCTCTTAAAACAATTTTTCAGGACAAATAGGTTTCTCAAGTCCACAAGCTGTTATTGATCATTCCAGTTTTCTTCCTAACTTTTTATTTGAAGTATTGTGAGATGTCAACATCTTGATAATGTCCTTATTTTCTTTTCAAATTACATATGCCATCCAGTTTAGTTGTTGCTATTGTTGAAAATACTCAAGTGATGTATTTTCCATTATTTTGTACAGTTCTTTCTTTACGATTCTATAGTGCCAGTCCATGAGTTTTGAAGGAGTATGGTCGTCACTAAGTGCTACAGTCTTTGTTTTCCTCAAAGCCATTATTAACCATTCATCTGAGAAAGTGGTTGTATACAGATGGCAGTTCAGATATTTCTGAACCAGTTTGGTGCTATACATGACCTCCATATGAAAGTCATAATCTGATCAGGCTATTTAAGAACATGACTAGAGTTTTTAGTTTAATGTTTTAGTTTGGTAGTAATTTGAGGTGTTGAGTGAAACTCCCTTTAGCACAGCCTATTCTATGACCAATTTCTTTATCTTCTATACTAAATTTGTTATAACTGATCAATATACTGAGGTATTTGTAGTGTTTAAAATTTACTAATCCCATATACTGAATTTTTTATAATGAGTGCCATCACTGCTTTCAATTCTAGGTCATTGTTTTTTGTTTTGAAAAATTTTATCTTGAATCCTATTTTTTGGAACCCTTTGCAGATTATGTTGAATTTTTTTTTGTTCAAGATCATTTTTATTCCATCTATGAATACCTATGTCATCAGCATAGCTCACTTTATTATTAATGCATTGAACTCTAGAGAGAAAGCTGGATTCTATTAATAGATTCATTTGGGATGTGGTATAGAATGCTGAAATGATCAGTGCCCATCTCTTCACATCTGTGCTTGTATATGCACAGGGCATATTATAGGAAAAGATTAAATAGACTGCAGCTCACATTTTACTTCCCATGAAGTTTGAAATATTTAGACATTAGAGTCCTCACCAGACATGTATGGTTTTGTGAACCTGTATATTTACTCTCTTAGACTGAGGTATTCAATGGAGCCATAGTTTGGAAGATGATTTCTAATGGAAGAGAAGAGTGAGGATCTCTATTGATGTGGTCATATATTGCTGTAAAGTCAACATAGATGTACAATTTTCTATTGGAGAGTTATGTAATTTCCTCAATTTGTTTGAGGACATATATGCCATCATTAAATCCCTCACAAGAATGAGCATCAAACTGGGTTGTAAGGGGTTGACTTTCATAGAATGGTGAGAATTTAGGTAATAAAATGTTCATTCTTACACTTATTATTTTTGTTTTAAAATATCTTCTTAAAAGAATTTAAAATAGGGCACTCTTATATATACAAATTATATATAATGGATTTTGAACCTCAAATCACTTTATCCAGATGGGCTTAACCACAAATTTAACAACATAGAAATAATTAATATATAACCACATAAATCAAGCCCAACCCACATTTCTCACCCACACATGACAGACATGCTTGCAGAGGTGTTGAGGTCTCACACTTATACACACACTCACACAAATATATACACATACACACATCACACACACTCCCAAAAAACTAAAAGAGAACATACACTTAACACACGCATCCCATTCCCAGCAACCAATAAAACTGTCAAAATGACCAAGGAGGGTATTCTGAAAGTCAGGAATCTCCCATCCTCTATCGTACAAACAACTTGAAAGAGGCCACTTGACCAACACAAGAACTGACTAAAATTAAACAATAAAAAAAAAAAAACAAATGAAAACTACAGATAAGTTCACTTTCTTCAGAAATAGTCATTCACTCCTGTAGTTCACTGCTACTAACAAGCAGGGATTTTTTTTTCTCCTGATGATGGCAATGCTGACCGATCCTATTTGTGGAACATAATTGAAATAATAAAACAAAAGAATATTAATATACAACCCAGTGCTGCTGAAAATTTTAATTTTGTATTAATGAAATTTTTTATTATGAAAAAAGAAACATAGCCATTCAGCAATAACATTTCTAAATGCTTTTTCTAGGGGATATGATTATCGACATGCATTTTTATAACTTGAAAATAAAATATTTTTATTAAAAAACAGTAATTTTTATTAACAAATAATGCCTATGAAAACGCTTGATAATTATGCACCAACCCAATATATATATATATATATATATATATATATATATATAATAAAAAGGCTTAAACACTAATATTCCATGGTCATAATTTATTCCATTGGAATCATAAATATGATCCAATTCATCAGACCTACAAATTCAAAAAGAAAACAGAAAAAACAACTCCTGAAATAAAAAATAAAATTTAGAGAGAGTGTAAGTATGGGAGTGTGGGACGAATGTTAGAGCTAAAGAGAGGGGTAACAGATGAGAGAAGGTGGGGGATTAAAACTTAACAGAGAGAAGTTTTAGAGAGGGGAGTCAAAGACGGTTTAAGTGAGAGAAATATGAATGTTGTTGGATGTATAATACATTAAAGATGTAACCGGAAAGGATACATTTTGTGGTGACATACACACACAATAGACAATCTAATCTTAAAGATCAAAAGAAGAGGGAGGGAGAGGAAAAGAAAAAGGGGGTGGGGGAGAGAGATGGGGCAGGGGAAACTAAAACTGAAGGGCATTTATTAAAAGGGTCACTGTGTAATTAAGAAAATTTGACAAAATTAATATCGACTACAGGTTACAAATCAAATATAAACATATAAAAAATAAATATAACGATTATCTAATCTAGCAAGAACCTATATTTCTATGTTCAAAAACACATGCGTATATACATACATATAGGCATGTACACACATACACACACATATACCCATGTACACACACACACACATATATATATATATATTCATACACGTTTCATTAAATAATATAGACAAGTGTTGTCTATTTATTTTATGTAAATTCTTTTCATAACATCTGATAAGTTTAATAACATTATGATTGAACGAAGAAAGAAATTTACAATATTGATCCATATTTTTTAATACAATCTAAGCTTTCGGCTTACATAAGCCATTATCAAAGATATCAATTACAACATATTAAGTAATATACGGAGAAGACAGTGATGACAGTCTGTCATTGTTTACAATCATTTCTGGCAGAATGAATTTCATCATGGTGCTCTTTTTCTTACATATGGTGCCCAACTGACCCCACTATACTGTGCAGTCAACAAAATCCAATGCAAACAATGCACATGCACAAAATTAAAAATATAAAATGGCAACAATTTACCCATCGCACCCTGTATATTTATATGAGAAATATATCATGGGAATCTGAATTTATAATATCTATTCTCATTAAAATATGTGCTCCTTGACATTCTATAACCTTCATCAATATTTTAATCATTGATTTTATTAATATCTCTATGGCCTTGATTTTACTATTACTTTCAGCTCTTGTTTTTTCCATTAAAAAAATATTGGTAATAGCTTGTTTTTGGAGAAGCATGGCTCAGATTGAGGAATCGGAGAGCCGAGTTCGAATTCCAGTTAAATCCATTACATTCACTTACATGCTAATACCATTGGGTAAGGTATGGAATAATGGATAACGGCTTGGATTGAGGAATCTGAGAGCCAAGTTTGAATTCTAGTCAAATCCATTAGATATATGTGCTTATATTATTATACTTACTTATGTGCTAATACCCATAACTGACTTTCAAGGTTTTTTTTATGCAAACTAATTTGTTATCTATAATTCAATCCAAAGGATACAGACCAGAGAAACATTCTCTCAAATCTAATTTGAAATTTCATTATTTATATGTAAATATGTGCTCCTTGATATTCTATAATATATATTAATATTTTAATCATTGATTTTATTAATTTCTCTATGGCCTTGATTTTAATATTACTCTCAGCTGTTGTTTTTTTTCTTTTCTCTCAATGCTTTTTTGTTTTTTTTCATTCTCATAGACAATTCTTTTAATGATGGTACACAAGTTTTCAATTGGAAACCATTCTATTTGGCATCTTTGAAACATTTTACCTTGCATAAATATACACTTAAGCTTAAAAGCTTCCTAATTATGACTATTCAAAAACTTTTATTCAATAACTTATAATAATTCTTTACACTTATCTTGAAGCCATCATTGAAGAAACCTATATTTTTACTGCCCAAAATATTGCTTTATCTCCCTTCTGTTGTTTCCTAAGTCATTTTGTTAGAATATTTAAAAAAAGAGCCCAGCTTACAGCCCAGCCATTAGGTCCATCCAATGAAATTAAAAAAATAGAATAGATATCAGTAAGTATACTGTTATATATTCATTTAATTTACATTATGAGAAACAAAGATGTAATATAAAATCTTACACAACCAAATAAATATTTCTAACAACAGATAAGCTGAAATCTACATATATTTATCATATCTTGAAAATGTTACCCACATTGTTTAATACCAGTCTTATTGCAAAAACATTGACTTGCATACTAAAATCTGACATTGTGTAGAAAAAAAAATACTTACTTTCATAAATTGATCCATTGATTTGGTTGCCAAAGAATTTCCTCTAAATAATGTGTTTGGGTCAGCTGTAAAATATATAAAAATTGACATCTTAATTCATCTAACATTGTTTAATATTATTGTGACATAATGTTGGACAATTCACTTAATAAGGATCAGAAGCATTTTTGGTTCCTTGAAGTTTTTAATAGTATGTGCTAGAATCTTTTTTTTTAAGCGTTTCACTCCAAGCAAGGCGGGAAGCCACTATCATGCAAGGGGTTACAGAGAGTTGGAGTGAGAGCAAAGAGGAGTGATAGAGGAAAGGATGAAGAGAAGGATAGGGGATAGATCAAAGCAGGTGAAGACGTCGATTGACGTTACATTTCAATAGTTGGAGATTATAGCTATCAGGGAAACAAGAAAAGGGGAAAGAATTCCACAGGCAAGAAGTGCGAGACATGAAGCTATTGGAGTAGAAGAGACGCCTACATTTAACAGTTTCAACAGTGAAAGGGTGAGAGCAAGATGCCAGCCTAGTTGAATGCTTAAATTCATGAAGTCTGGGAACCAGTGAAAGCAGTTCATCAGAGTAGTTACCGTGAAAGTATTTGTAAAAAAGATTCTTAAATAAAGAAAAAAAGATAACTTTATTTAAAATTTATCATCTGTTACTTTAAGAGCAATCCTTGCTTTAAAATGCTTTAAAAGTGCGTAATAAAGTTCTACAAGATATGTATATCTTGGAATTTGATGTCTTTTTTTCGCAAAATGCTCACATTAATAATATGCATTTAAAAGCTCACAAGAAACGTGTGTCTGTTCTGTTTCATGAGCAGATTTCATCAATTTCAAACAAACTTTGGATGTAATTTAATTCTTAATAAATATTACATAAGATTATATAAATAAATGCATGTAAAACAGTCTGTTATCTGTTATAATATATAAAATATAAACATTTGATAAAATTAACATCTGTTTACTGTATATTAATCATAAAACATATAAAAATATTAATGAGAAGGACGTATAAAAAGAATCTTGTTAATAGAATAATATTATTTTTATACTTCCTTCCAATTAATTAATAAATAATTAATATTCACTGATATTTATGTTGCGGTGGTGTGTGGGGGGCTTTGTTGCTGATATATTCTATTATGTTACTGAATGTGTTAATTCAAACATTAAGATGAGAGATTGTTGAAAAGTTCTCAGCCCAACCCACTACCCAAAATCCAACCAAATGATTAAACCTAAAATATTTCTTTCAGAAGAGCTTCTTTGTTAGACTGAGAACTTTCCAGCACTATCTCATAAAACAAAAGTTATCTATCTTATTGAGCTTTCTACAATTTTCTACAAATAATCTGATAAAGTTTTTTTTATTTTTTAAGCATTTCACCTCAAGGTGGGAGTGCCACTAACATGCAAGGGATTACAGAGAGTGAGAGTAAGAGTAAAGCAGGGTGTTTGAGGAATTGATAAAGAGAAGGACAGGTATCAAGATCAAGGCCTCAGAAGATGTCGATTGACATTATATTTGAAGATTATATCTATCAGGGAAGCAAGTAAGAGGAAGAGAGTTCCACTGTTGGGAAGTGAAGAATCTGTTGGAGTAGAAGAGGCAGTTACATTTAACTGTTTTGACAGTAAAAGGGTGAGACTGAGATGTCAACCTAGTAGCAAACTTAAATTTGTGCAGTTGGGGCACCAGTGAAAATAGCTCATTTTTCAGTTTGAGTACAGCAACCAAATGGTAAGGTTGTTTTCTTTAGCTCAGGCCCCACCATGGCCCAGTCAGAGGCTAAATCTGCTTCCCCAGCACATGATGCCATTTCCCTTTGGGAATATATTTCCAAGATACAGAATGAAACTCCAGCTCACAGTCCTCAATTTGGGAAAACCTAAAACTCACTGTTTCCCATTTGTGGAATATGTCTTTGCATGAGACATAGATGAATCCAGAGCCTTAAAAATGGATTCTCCAGGTACAGAAGTATCTCTATATCATATGCAAGGCCCTTCCTTTTTGTTTCTCCTTACACTCTGCTGTGCTGTATAGATATATGTGCTATAATGTTCTCTGCATGGGACATGTGTGTATATGTATATATCTAGTTTTGTGTATGTCTTAGTAATATAGAAGTCTCTGAGAACAAAGCATATTTGTCATCCATTTTCCTTTCAGCCATTCCATCCTGTCCATGAACTGCAGTGTTATATCATGGATATAATAATGCCCATAATGGGAGAAATGTAAAATGGAGAATAAATTTTTCTTCCAAGCACTTCTGTTACAAGGCCATTTTTTCTCTGCAATGGATTTGTAGCTGTGAGCCTTACTAGTTTGGTACTTAAAAGGGATTCTCTGTCTTGAGAATCATAAATTTACTGTATTTGTACTTAAGCGTGGGAAAACGTTGGTGTGCCTTTCTCTTGATAGATAAATGATGTACTGAGCTATATTGATTAATTATTGGGAGTAAAACAACACATCTATTCATTGGCATCACTCTGCATGACACAAACCTAACAGAACATATAAAGTTTTGTAACATAATATATATTGGTTCAAGACCTGTTTTTTAACACAGTATACTTTTCCTCTACTTACCTTAATCCCCCAATAGTTTAGCATTTACTTACTACATATAATTCAACTATAAATTTACCAGTTTTTAATGAGATACTGACGAAATAGCTATGTGCCAGTATGAAACATAAGGATAAATATTGGAGATAAATTCAATAGACATATTGTATGAAAGGATGTGATGTTAGCGTTATTTCTTGTGGATATTTTGTATTGCACAAACCACACATGCTTTAACCTTTTGACCCCTGCATTCCTGAACAATTTTAACCCTTCTGCCTGAGCTCCTGAGTCAAAATTTGCAAATAATTGGTATGCAATATTTCTTGGTAGATATAAAAATAGTTAAAGGTGTTTACCCACCGTTCAATCAGTGGCTGGGCATTAAGTCATTTTTCTCTACCACTGTTCAATCAGTGGCAGGGCATTAAGTCATTTTTCTCTACCACTGGTAAAGCAGTAGTCAGGGCTCAAAGGGTTAGTACAGAGGTTAATATATTTACTATGAATATAGTATCATTGATTAGAATTCAAATAAGTATATGATTCCAATTTCAATAACAACCCTACAGTCTCATTGTACTAGATTATCCATAGAGATAATCCAGTACATAAGATAAAATGGTTAAAAAAAAAGAGATTTGCAGTACCTCCCTTCAAATAATACAAAACAAGAAAACAAATCCTAGTTTATATTCATTGTAAATTATATATTAATATAAAAATAATGTTTTCAAACAAAACTGTGCTTTCTCTAAATTTGATTATGACAGCTTATTGTCTGTCTTACATTAGAATGATGCTGAAGAAATTAAATAAACTATTGATTTCATATATTGTTTCACAACAGAAAAAATGACACAATCAACCAACAAAATTTATTTTATGTGCAATTGAAATGTTTTTAAATATATTTAAATGATAGTTTCATTTTAGCATAAACTAAAATCAACAAAGGTAAGAAAATTACTGTATTTTCTGGCTTACAAGACACACACCCTAATATTAGAAAGAAATTTCTAAGAAAAATAAGTCATTCTTGTAGGACACATTCACCATGCGTCCATCAAATACTGGCACCACATATTGTTTATACTAATCACTTGTCTGATTTTGTTTGTATGGCAATGATATACTCTACCATAGCAAATGGACAATTGGTGAGCAGAAGAAATGCCTTAAGACTTTCTTCAAAGACTTGAATATTGGCATCAACTTCTAGGAGAGGATAACCTCAAACTATCATGTGCTAGAGCAAGATTACAAAAGAAAACAATGCAGCAGAGCCAAGAGAATTGCCAAAGTTGAGAGGAAAAATATATCACACAAGGTCTGAACTGCCATTATTCCATTCAATAGATTTTCAAGTGTGTGTCCTATATGTAGGAAAGACTCCAGAAACCAGATCAGACTCTGAAGCCTCACTCAGAAATTCAACCCTAAAATATAAATATCAATTGTTACAAGTTTCTGAGAGTTGTACTGTGATGTGTTCTCTTGTTTCTTGTGGTTTCTTTCAATCACCAGAATTGTAAATGGAGACCGATTCTTGCTTTGACAGCAAACATATTATTAACTAACATATTTTATGGGTTACAAGACAGCAAACATATTATTAACTAACATATTTTATGGGTTACAAGACACTGTGGCTTGGAAGACACGCCCTAATATTGGAAAGAAATTTCTAAGAAAAATAAAATCATTCTGACACATTTAGCATGAATCCCTCACATACTGGCACCATGTCTTGTTTATAGTAATCACTTGTCCGATTTTGTTTGTATGGCAATGACATACTAGTCAAGAGCAGAAGGGCTCCTGCCGCTGCTAGTAAAGAGTGCATGGTCAAGCTTGTGGCTTGGCTCCAGAAAGGTTTATAGTCTTGGAAATACTTGTAACAGCTAAGTACTGAGGTGTTATCATATAAAAGGCTGAATTAGATAGCTAACATTGTAGTGTAATGACTCAACATACAAATCAATGTCCTTATCAGTCAAGCCAATTAGGTGACCCGTCCAAGCTTACTTGAGCCTAGGCATTGCCTTATATTTGTCTTGGAAGATGCACACATATTTTTCAGGGTATTTTTAGAAAAAAAAGTGAATCTTGTATGCTGAAAAATACAGTAATCCAAATCAATATCAATAGATATAGACAATGTATAGCAGTAATAACAGAACTGTAATACAATGTATAACAGTAATAACAGAACTGTAATACAGACAGTGTATAACAGTAATAACAGAATCGTAATACAGACAATGTATAACAGTAATAACAGAACTGTAATACAATGTATAACAGTAATAACAGAACTGTAATACAAACAGTGTATAACAGCAATAACAGAATTGTAATACAGACAATGTATAACAGTAATAACAGAACTGTAATACAATGTATAACAGAACTGTAATACAGACAGTGTATAACAGTAATAACAGAATTGTAATACAGACAATGTATAACAGTAATAACAGAACTGTAATACAATGTATAACAGTAATAACAGAACTGTAATACAGACAGTGTATAACAGTAATAACAGAATTGTAATACAGACAATGTATAACAGTAATAACAGAACTGTAATATAATGTATAACAGTAATAACAGAACTGTAATACAGACAGTGTATAACAGAAATAACAGAATTGTAATACAGACAATGTATAACAGTAATAGCAGAACTGTAATACAATGTATAACTGTAATAACAGAACTGTAATACAAACAGTGTATAACAGCAATAACAGAATTGTAATACAGACAATGTATAACAGTAATAACAGAACTGCAGGCAAAAATAAAGAGTTTGATTAAAAAAATTGCATTACTCTATTCTTAATAAGAAATAACTTGCAAATCATTGGATTGAAAACACATCCGAACTTCAGTAACAAAATACATTCCTGTCATTATTACATAATGTATTTACTTTTTCCTTTCACACTTTTTTTAAGTTATTGCTTTGATTGTATACATGTCTCCTGCACTCATCCAATATATAATAATTTAATCATGATTAATGCTTTATATTTTATTCTTACCATTTCATGACAAAGTGTTTGAAGCCAGAGACTGAGATTTCATCCATGTCCTGGGTAAGACAGTAAACTACATCAAACAGCAAGGCCTCTGATCATGAGGTTTTGAGGAGCATGGAACCAACTATTAATTGCTGATTTTCCCAGGTCCACCCTGACCCAGGTTGGTAACACCTGTTAGGGCCCCAGCTATGGCAAATAATTAACCCCCAAACTAGGTTCAACATGTTATGAAAGTGTAAAAATAGGTTTCAATACCAGCAATACTTTTTTGTAAAAAATTATTACCAGCAATGAATTTTGAAGAAAGAAATTATTACCAGCAATACATTATTGCCAGCAATACATTTTGAAATACATACATATATATATATATATATATATATATATATATATATATATATATATATATATATATATATATATATCACCAGCAATAGATTTTGGGAAAAAATATTACCAGCTATACATTTTTGAAAAAAATATTACCTGCAATAAATTTTTGAAGAAAAATAAATATTACCAGCAATATATTTTTAGAAAAAAAAATATTACCAGCAATTAAAATTTTGCCGACATTAAATAACCCATTGAGGTTAATATGTTGTAAAACAAAATAAACCAAACCTGTGATTTTTATTACTTGAATCCTATAAAACAGTAAATCATTAAAAAATACTTAATGGTTGTCACATCACTTTTAGTTGAATAATTTTGTATTCAACTGTCTATATTTTTACTAAAACATGTGAGATGATTAGGGCAATATTTTATCAAATACACATTACTAAACTCTTAATAATTGTCTATTTTAGTGACTGTGTAAAAATACATTATAACAAGTCTTTTCACTATACATACAATTACTTCTGTCAATCATTAAGGATTGTGATTGTTTTAAAATCATTGTGAATTATTATTAATTAAAACTAAGGTAAGTAAACTGAATATAACCCAATTATAACCCCATAAAAATATTATGATGGTCTAAGCTGCAAACTGATCATCTCATCAATTCAAGAAGATTAAATCTGGTTGTTGGTGAACAAAGTTCATTAGATTGCCAATATGAGGCTGTGTCAGTACAGAACAGAAAAATATAATCAAAACTGAAAATTAATAAAACTTTTCACAGTAACTGAATGTTATACTCTACTTCAAATTAGATCTATTTCTGATTCACTCTACATGTTGGCTGGATGTGAATGCTAAAAAAAGCAAAAATAAAAGAATCTCCCTCTGCACAGGGGTTCTGAGCATCACATCCAGCTTACAAAACAACAAATCCCCTCAAAAAACATAAAATACGATATAAAGGGAGCCAATCAAAAATGCTGCCACCAAAGAAAATACATGAAAAAAATAAGTCATGATCCATCTCATATGCTTTTAATAATGCCAATGACAACAATGTAGCTGAGTTGTGGTGAAGAGGCAAGCTGTTGACATCATCACAGGTGACCTTGGTCAATCAACCCAATACATACATCAACTTCAGACCCTACCAACTTTATCTTTCCTCTAAGTCACTTCCCTTGCCCACAAAGAGGCATTCCATTCAGATCCTTTGTATTTCAGGACAAAGAATTTTATATTAACAATTCTTGTATTCTTTTCTTTTTGTCTGACTGGTGGTACTTGTTGTTTCATTTGTTCTCTCATGCTATCATATGTGTGAAGAAGAAGCTGTGTGACAAGAGGTTTAGGATCATGTTTATTATAAGTAGTATCAAAAATATGTTATTTCTTTGCATGAATGGGTAAGTGTACATGTGTGAGTGGTGTGATTGCTTCTGATCTTATAAAGTTTGTTGTCTCCCTTTGTTGGGTGTGATAATTCCTGGAGAAAATCCATTTTCAGGGCTGGCCCCAAACACATGTCTACATCAAGCAATGAGAGCGGGTCCTTGTTTTTGAACTCTGCCTCTATGAAAAAGGACCGTTTGTTGACCTCTTTTATCAAGACCACCTTGAAGTATGGATGTTGGCTTGTCTTGCTGCTGAATTTGTTGCTGTGCCTGTTTGAGTATTGACAAAAGGTTGATAGGCCAGAAAAAAGAAGACATTTCTCTTCCCAGCTAAAGACAAGACCCAGGAAATAGTGTGAAAGGCATTTTCTAGAGAATTCTCCAAATTCCTGGTTAGGCCTTGTGTTAATTCAATATATTTCTGCTGACACCAGAATTCCTACTGGCAACTTTGTTTGTTCAACTGAACATGGTAAGAGCAGCATTTTTCTTCTTGTAGAAGTCCTTTGAATGGAAGTTTCCGTTCTACAAGAAACCTTTTAAAACTACACCTTTGGTTCCTAAGAGCATAAACTCTGCTGGAAAGATTTTTCCTCTCATCTTTTAGCAAGGAACTATTTTCTTTGATTGTGCACTTTGGGTAGGTTTCAATCCTACTTTCTCCTTTTTATACGTTACTTGGTGCCAAGAACTATACTTGCGGCCGCATACAGGAAATTGTTTGGAAGCTGGCCTCCTTTTTGTGTTAACTATTGTATCTTTTATACTGTAATTTACCTTAATACTCCACTTTGGAGTCTCATTTTATTTAATAAGATTCTTTGCAAGTCTTGATCAAAACCTTTTAGTGTGTTAAACCCCTTTTCTTTCCTTATTTACCACTCAGAATTTCTGGTTCAACTGTTGAATTTATCAGGAAGAAGATAAATTCCAACAGTAGTGCACTTAGAACCATGCAAAAAATGAAAAAACATAGGAGCAAATTGTAGAAATGGAAGATTTAAGGATGGGTTAAGATTATCTTAAGCTCAGCATTATTGGGGTTAGTAAAAAGACTGAGGATGGTTCTGGAGATCATTGTTTTTCCACAGAACAATTAAAAAAAATCTGTACTATATGATTACAATAAATATAAAAAAAACACTATTCTAAATGGTTTGGTTTTACATGTTTAAATTTCAAACAATTGTAAGAAAAAATGAAATCCACTTACAAGTATTTTTAATCTCTTCTGCTGTGATTGAACTGAGATAATCAGTGATCAGTCCTTGATTAAGATAAAGTCTGACTAAGCAATTGGCAAGTTCTGTGAGGTCAAGGGAGCTAACCTCCTCTAGTAAATAGAGAGCACTCAAATCAGGTGGTTCAGAGCCCTGGAAAATAAAACAAATTACATTTGTAAAAACATTCAGCATTTATCTTGGTATATTTCTATTTATACAGCAAGAGAAATTTATATATAAACTGATAAATCTTAATTATCTCCCTTTCTCTCTCTCTCACTATATATATATATATATATATATATATATAGCTAAACTTAGAGAGCCAGACAAACCTTCCAAGATTTCACCTAAGCGGATCATTAGGGAAGGTTTAGCAAGGTCTGCTCTACTATCCCGTAATGAGCACTTTAGTTATTTAGTTATTTTGCGTACTCGTATCGGGGGTTTCTTCTTTGGGCTTTGAACTTGCATGCTAGACAATTATTTTTGGCTAACGTACATGTTCTTGATTCTTTCTTTTTTTTTATACCTTTTTTTTCCTTTGGTATTGGTTTGATTACTTGCAAATCAAGACACCGAAGGTTTTCGAATAGTATAGTTTCTTATACTTATAAGATTTCTATTAATATATATATATATATATATATATATATATATATATATATATATATATATTATGTATAGTAAAATTCCCAGAACAATTCTGTGAATAAGACAAATTGTTATAGGAATGACAATAGGAAAAAATCTTTTGCCTGACGTGTTTTGTCTTCCGACGTGTTTTCATAGTTACATTAAATGCAAAATTTAAAAAGAGAGACACACTTTTGCATAAATCTCTTTCTGGCTAATGTTAACTTCCTTTATACTAAGAGTTTTTTTTTCCATGTTAGAAATATAGTAAAATTACCAGAACAATTCTATAGAAACACTCCGTGACATGTATATAAAATTATATATAAAAGTTTATTGATGATAAGCAATGAGTGTGTGTCGGGGGGGGGGTAATGAACCCAAAATCAAACTAAAATATAACAAAAACACATAAACTAAAAATAAATGACCCATCCAACCATCAAAAGAAATGGGAAAGACTGCTGTATTCTGTCTACAGACAAAATCAAGAGGCTCTCTTGCTAAGGAAGAGGCAAAGCTAAAACAAATATGGATATATGGAAAGAAAAATACTGACCCAGTCAAGATGAAAAAAGGTGGCCAAAAACAAACTGGGGAGGTTGGGAATCTCAGCTAGGATCTTAACCAAAGAAGAAGCTGGGTACAGGCTAGGAAAAACACTTACACACATTAACTAGATACACAAGAAGCATCTATCCTAACCACAAGAAGCTGCCCTGACGTGTCTTAGGGAGACTTAAAAAGGAAAATCAAGGCTAGCCCTGTTCACGCAAACAAGGCTCACTGCATGTTATGGTCCGGTTCCTTGTACCACAGTGTTAGTCCAAGGTAGAACCAATAAAGAAGAACTCGAACACAGGTATGGAATAGCACAGATATATTACAAACAGGAATATATACAGAGAAGTAGAAAGTGTTAGTACGAACAATCAGGTTTAGTAGAGAGAACAATGTAGTCTCGACCAGTATCACTATTCCAATGTCTTGTAGTAATTGTCTGAACGCGACTCTGTTTCGGACTGCCTCTGACTCGACTCTTGACTCGCTCTGACTGACTGACAGACCTCACTCCAGACTGAACGGTATTTAGTCACCTCCAACGAAGGCATCATGTGGCACAAGGCCGGTATAACGTGGGATCTCAACCAAAAATATGCCCTTTGAACCCGTATAAACAGGTTCAGAGTTGGTTTACCTCCCCGAAAGAGACTCCGCACTTCGGCGTAGCTTCGTTTGGGTTCCTCCCCGTCTGAAGGCAGAGAGTTCAACCAATCAGCCGGTCGTCCGACTTCGGACTGAACTCCCTGCTTCCTCTTGAGGCGCAGTATTTATTACGTATGGAATAGTCCATTATGTTATTATGGGTAAGGTCCCATAACACTGCAGCCACTCACCTTTCATAAAAATCTGTCAGTACCAAACTTGTAAAATGTGCATAGAGGTTGATATATCACTAAATAAAAAACAACTACCATCATAAAACGCCATCAAACCCAAATATATTGATTTTTGTTTCATCTGACTTCAGTTCCAGAACTTTTATTCTCTTATACAAACTTTAAATGAATCTGTTTGTGTTTTGAATTCAGTAGCCATTTCCTACATAGTCACTGGCCATGTAATCTTATCTTATTCAGGGCATGTTTGACTGTGATAATTGAAACATTGACATCACACCCTTTCTTTACTTCATTAGCAACAATAACAGCTGATATTTTGGGGTTTTCATTCACCAATGACGAAGAATGCATCAATAAGCATACTTATTTAATACTTACCTTAGGGAGAACAGCTTCATTAAATATTTCTAGCATTGGGTCGTAACTAACTGTAGGCAATACTATTTCCTGAGTCAGACGAACTTTCATTCGTAAACTTCCACGGTTAGGTGCAGGCTTTGGACACATAGGGTCTACTCTGTAATCATAAGAAGAGTATAGAGAAAATTATACATCATGAATCATATTATCATATACATCATATACATATACATCCTGAATCATATACATATTATCCTATACATCATGAATCATATTATACACCATGAATCTCAGTTTCAGTGCAATCTATAGTAATATATGGATCATGTAAATACAGTAGAATCCTTGACAACTAGACCAAGAAGGCCATCCAGATATGAGGAATTGGTTACAAAATCCGGATATGAGGGGTTATATCTAGATTAAAATAAAAGAACTGAAATCAGTTTTAACATTTATTTGCAATGTTTTATCGTAAACAAAATAAGCTAACGAGTGAAGGAAAGGAAAAAGAAATATGGCCGCCCTAACACCTTAATTTAAGAAAGATGTTGTCTCAGAGCTAGGAGAACTGATGAGAGTAGTTGGGTGTATGCAATTTTTTGCAAGATCAGCTCAGTATAAAAAACACCACTTGAGAGAGAACAGACAGTTTGCTTGTGAACATGGTGATACTTGTATGAAGAGACTTTGTCAGTTGGAAAGAAATTACTTGGGTCAGTTTCACACAGGTAATTTGCACAATGAGTGGGTACTGAAAAAATTTTCAACCTCACTCACTTGGTCAGGTTTTCCAAAATTTGACCAATTAAACAAACATCAGAATTTTTTTTAGAAAGGCTTCTTGGATGGGGTGAGAACATTTTAGCACCCATTGTAAATTTTATTGGTTGATTTCTTAACAGTGACAAATGTCTTATTCTTAATCAATTATAAAGACATTCTTTAAAGTGAGAAGTTATTTTTTTATAATTTACTCATGTTTTTGTGAACATTAAGTTAAATGAAGTAAATGTTTTCTTAACTGTAGCAGGAAATGTCTGAACTGAAAAATTGATATGTTAACTTTTTAGACATATTATTAATGATATGCTGACCATTTTTCAGGTAAAAATAAACAGTCTGTTAATTAAAGAGTTGGTTACTTCCCTTGACCCCCATAAGAATATAAATCTCTATCTATAAAAGGCAGGATGTGTGTGTGCGTGTGTGTGTGTGTGTGTGTGTAACGAATGCACGACTGCAATTTTCAATAGATTTGCACCAAAATTTACATGCACATGCTCCAAGTTAGCGGCAAGGCCAAGACTGACTTTGCATTTCCCAACTCTCATCGATAGTGGAAATAATCAATTTTTTCATGCTTCTACGGCAGTTTTCATGTAGTTTGCGGTCATTTTCTACTGGCCAGAGTCAATAGCTAGCTGCCACGAATAGGCAGGAAGATTCTATTGGCCAGTGTGAGAGCCAACAGCTGACTGACACTAATGTTAACTAACATGCTAGCATGCAAAAAAATTTGATAGCTGCATTCGTCACAAGTGGGAAAAATTTAAATCTGCATGGCACTTTACTCCAATTGGCTCATTCGCTTGCTTAAACTCAACGTTGATTCTGATTCCACAGAACTGGGTTGGGTGCGAAAAAGTATTTGTTGTTAACATTCTTTTTTCATTCGGTTTTTCCAGTTACGAGTCCTTTTTTAAAGCTGATCGTTTTGTGTTCATTTTGCTTAATTCTTTTTTCGTAACAGATTTAATGTTTAGTATAGAGCTAGAAAAAATTTGCAGTGTGAGATAGGCAAGAAGTAAGGCATGTAGCATGCCTTACTTGCAAGGAAGGGCAAAATATTTTAAGTCAAGTGATAGCGATTGCTCTATGAGTTGTATGATTTTTGAATCAAGCACAGGCAACGCTATGCCATGCTGCTAGTATAGAATAACACTAGCCATATTTTCATATTGGGATATGTCAGAATGACAGAAGAATAACACATTTACCTCAAAAGCTAAAAATATATATGTGCTAAATTCATTATTATGAAACTCGAATTGAAAAACAAAGACGATGAGACAATTTTTGTTTTTCTTATCAGGTTAAAAGTAGGTAATTTTTTTTTAGAAAAGCAGATCAAAGTTATCATTTTCAGTAAGCAGACTGATTAGGTAAAATTTCTCTATGCTGATGTTAGTTCAAAAATTTTCTTTCATTTTGATGTGTAATCGTAAATGTCATTTTTTTTTTAGGTTTTACTGCAGAATCAGGCGTCTAGCATCAAAATTAGGCCAATGAAGTTAATTAGAAATACTGTGTTTTTTTTTTATGTGAGTACATGTAGTGTAATGATTACTAACTCAGAAAGAGAAATCAATGAGCTGAGTTAAAGTCCAGCTGAGTTTATTATGTTTACTTTTTCACAAATACCTTTGAAAAAGTATAATTCCATCTCTTTTCCTCCCAGCTATGGGTTAAATAGAAAGTTTAATTGAGCTCAATTGCTTTGAGGTAGCAATCAGTCTAGAAGAAAATTCTGAATTCAAAAACCAGCTTGAAGATGGAGGATCTCTATTAAGTTATCATGCCCAAGGTGCACAACTGTTGCCACAGCTGCAGTACATGTAGTGCCCCTACAGCCCTTAGGATGTGACACTAACATTGACTTGATATTTAAATGAAGATGTACAAAAAGTGCTGAAATGTTCTCAGCTTGATCTGCTTCCCAAATGAGCAAATATTTTTCTTTTATTTTTTTAAGGGATTCTTGAATTTATAACCTTTCAACACCCACTCATATTGATCATCAGGACTTTATTCTATCACTGAATCAAAATTGTTATTTGAGGGACATGTATTCCTTCATTAATCAGAACTACTCCCAGAACACCATGTGCAAAACTGAAAATGCAATCTGTTAGGATTGCAAAGTTTAATTTCTATCAAAAACATGAATGTTAACCATCATGGGAATGATGATAAAATACATCCATGTCCTGGGTAAGACAATAATCTACACCCAACAGCAAGATCAGGATGTTTTGAGGAGTGTGGAACCATCTTTTAATTGCTGGTGTTCCCAGGTCCACCCTAACTAAAGGTGGTAGCACCTGTTAGGGTCCCAACTATGGGCAAATAGTTAACCCCCAAACTGGGGTCAAAACACTATGTTTTAATACCAGCAATAAATTTTTTGAGGAAAAATTATTACAACCAATACATCATTACCAGCAATACATTTTTGAGGAAAATATTACCAGCAATACATTTTTGTAAATAATTATTACCAGCAATACATGATTAGCAGCAATACATTTTTGAAGAAAAAATATATTACCAGCAATACATTTTTGTAAATAATTATTACCAGCAATACATGATTAGCAGCAATACATTTTTGAAGAAAAAATATATTACCAGCAATACATTTTTAAAAAAAAATTACCAGCAATAAAAATCTTGTCAGTATTAAATAACTCAGGTTGATATGCCGTAAAACAAACCAAACCAAACCATGAATGTTAATTCCAGAACCGAGAAAAGTCCAAACTGAGATGCAAAATATTAATCTCACTGAAAGAATTATCATGAAGACTCTGTTCTGGATGATCATTTTGGAGAAGAACTTTATGTAAAATATTAACGATAGAAAGTGAAACAATATAACCATGCTGCCAAATTAATAACTCTAAGAAAAACATTCTGTAAGGCCAGGAGATAGGAATTGGTTGATAACATTTTTAATTGTGCTGAGACAAGCATAAAGAAAAACACTCAAACTTAGCAAGCAATCATGAAAGAGCAAAGGAAATAATTAAAACAAAACAAAAACCAGTAACAGTGATGGAGAAAACGCAGAAGAAAGAAACATTATAGAGTCTCCAAAAATAACAAGTAAACCTAATGTAGCTTTTTCATCAGATAATATTAAGAGATAAAGGATAAAAGGAACTAAAAAAAACAAACATACACTAGGTAAGGAAAATTTGATGAAAAAGCACAAAAATGTAATTCATTTTGAAGAGAATTAACCACCTTTGCCTGTAAAGCAAAACAGATTGTCTACACTCACACACAAACATATATTGAAAACTTAATAACATTATTATCAACTATAAACATAAGCTTAAAACAGTACATTACATTGCCATTTTTCTTTAAATTCATTCCTAAAGAATATAACTTATATCTCTCTAATATAAAGAATACAAGCTGAAAGAGGTCAGCCATAAATTAGAACCATGTGACACCCTGCTATTCTGACTGACTTCACAAAGGTGAAGACATCAGAACTCCCATTGGATAAACACAGATACACATTACTATCAGATGCCCACTTAGACACACAAGAATCTTCACAAATTTACATACACGTAGAATTATCTATGGTTTTAATGCACATGACACATGTCTGACCAATGAGAACTGACCCAAACAAATGAAAATACTAGTGTTTCTGTTTTGTTTTTTTTTTGTCTGTTTTCTCTCAATCTTTGATGAAGTTTTAATAAAAGTGAAACATGTTAGGTTGATATATGTTTCCTATTTGTTTCTTTAATTTATCATCCTGTTGGTTTCTGATCATCATTTGATCTGCAACTCATATGTGTATGTGTGTGTGTGTGTGTATGTACACATGATTTTCAAATGAGATAAAAGCCAATAAATCAGAACAAAATTTTAAAGCAAAAATACTGTTACTCTAGTCCTCTCTCCTTTCTTCTTAACTGTGGGGAAACAGCTTTCATAAAGCTAGTGTGAGAATTTGGTTATTTTTATTACTATGAAGGCTACATAGCTTAATGAATAAAACCTGCTTGAAACAACAATTCCTATAAAACTGTTATCAATTCTAGATATTCACAACTGATGTTAATTATTATTGAGAAAAGACAAACATTCTACTCCATTGACAGTTATTTGTCCATGTTTCAATAATGTTGTATCGTGAAAAAACAAAAGAGGAGGAGGCTTCATGAAATTTCCTCAGTTTAATTCAATACGCATAAGCGAAATGAGTGGTATACACAGAAACCAATTACTATAAATGTTATATTTAGTGGTCATGCAAGCTTGAGTAGACATCCTTGATTTTTAAAAAATAGGAAATTAATTTTTAAAACAGTGAAACTAAAGAAATTCTCTAGGCTGAGTGACATTAAC